CTCTCTCTCTCTCTCTCTCTCTCTCTCTCTGTCCCTCTCGTTCTGTCCTATACCTCTTTCTCTGATCCCTCTCACTCTTCCACCTTCTCTTTCTCCCATTATCCTTCCTCTCTCTGTATTTCTAGATCTCTCTTTTATTCACATACCTATCTGTCTGTCTTTCTGTTTGTCTGTCTGTCTGTCTATCTGTCTGTCTGTCTGTCTGTCTGTCTGTCTGCTGTCTGTCTGTCTGTCCTAAAGCTCTATCTCTCATTTTTCTCCTTTTCTCTCTCTGTCTCTCTATCCCCCCTCTCTCTCTCTCTCTCTCTCTCTCTCTCTCTCTCTCTCTCTCTCTCTCTCTCTCTCTCTCTCTCTGTCTCGTGCAGAATACCAAAAAGACATAATGACATCACTTTTAGCCTTGCCATATCCAAAATGACGTCATCATCATGACACGTTTGCTCGGACTAGCCCGCTTTAGGGTGGGAAGTCCAGCTGATGACGTGGAGACTGTATCTCGTCAAGCTGTAGATTACGACTGCTGTTCGAAGTAACATTAATTTTCATAAACTGTCTCATTATCTTAAAACATGTACTTATAGAATATATATTTTTGGATGCTCTTTTTCAATATTTAACATTTGAATTTCGACAAAATGTTACTCAAGCACATTAAGGAACTTCAATTTAAAAAAAAACAAGAACCAAAAGACATTATGGGTTTAGAATATGTGAACAGCTGGTCGATGTTATGTAAATATGTGATACAGATATGATTGAAGATGAACTGGAGCGCTGTTTGCTAAATAGGAATTATGCTGAGCAGCAAGGCAGGTGGCTGTGGTTCGAATCCGAATGGGGAATTCTGAACTTGGGTTGTTTAGGGAAGTTTTACGACTCTCCGATCTATTAGCCAAGTCCTATCTCAGATGGACGTTACATTTGTAGGCCCTGCTTCTTAAATATCTTTATCGTATCGAAAGGGACGTTAAACCCATTCAATGACCGGCTGTTTTTCTGTATACATGGTTAATTCACATTTCGCTCTATGTCCCCCATCCCGCCTTCTTCATCTTTCTCCACCAAAACTCATCTTTTTAAAAAGAATTAACTTCATAATTAAAAGGATTAAGGCTGATCAAAATGCCTGTACGTGTAAGAACACTCGTTATTACTTGAAGCATATAACAGACTTCAGCTGGGTAAATATTTTGGTGCGTGCGCACACAGGTCGGGCCAATATGTTAGAAAGAATCGTACGTCTAGAAGTAAAACTATTTTGATTCAACTGACCCGAATATCGAGTGCCCATTGGCAGGATCGGGTCTGGTCGGGTCGGGCCGATTAATGGCGGCTTCAGTGCACTCTACCAATAGACCCCTACCATGCTTCATCAAATTTGATCTGAAAGTTAAAGCAGAGACAGCCTTGACCACTGGAGACCATGTAACTTGGTGCGGAGATTATATCTGGCTCCCCTTTATTTTGTTGTACGTAAAATCAGTAGAGCCATTTTTTTCCAGAGATTTTAAGTTCCAGCTGACAGACGGAGATACTCGATAACTTTCTCCCCCACCCGAGAATGGAACTCCATTTGTCTGCGCACAAAGGAGAGAGGCCCAACAAATACATGTACATCACAGATGTCAGTGAAATATTCTTAAATTTCAGACACATATTAAACAAAAAGCAATCATATCGGTTTGTTTTCCTTTTGTGTTTTCTCAGATAACCTGAAACCGAGCAAGTGAAAGCCACATGGAGCTACCAGCCATCCAGGAGAATGACCAGCCACTCGTTAACGGGCATACAACTGGGCAGGTGAGAACTCTTCATTAACTGTGCACATATTTTTTTTTTGGCGTATTCTTTTGTTCGTGCGCTCCGTTTTCGGTTTTACCCATCTTGTTTATTGGTCAAATGTCAGTTCTTCAACGCAATAACATTTCGCAAACTGGAAGACTCGAATTCGCAGTCTCCTTTAAAAGTCGTAAATTCAAGTTGTGCACAATATAT